TACTTATATCAACAAGATCATGGTCAAAAACAGTTATCCTTTGCCTTGCATTGATGACTTATTTGACCAATTCTTAAAGGCTAAGTATTTTACACGGCTTGATTTGCAATCCAGATATCATCAGATACGGGTGGCAAATTAAGATGTGGAGAAGACAACCTTTAAGACTTAGTATGGATCTTATAAGTTCCTTATCATGTCGTTTGGGTTATGCAATGCTCCGGCAACATTCAACACTATGATGGATAGAATATTTGGAGATTATTTAGACGCATTTGTTGTCCTATATATCGATAATGTTCTAATCTTCAATGAAACGTTGGAGGATCATTTAAAACATTTAGAGCTGGTGTTTCAAAAATTGCATGAACACAAACCATATACTAAGGAAAGTAAATGTGCTTTTGGACAATTGTGCGTAAACTTTCTTGGACATATAGTTGGTGGTGGCGTAATTGAGGTGGATCCAAAGAAAGTGGAAGCGGTGAAAGCCTGGGAAGTCCTGACCACTGTATCAGATGTTTGTTCCTTTCTTGGTTTGGCGGGATACTATTGCAAGTTTGTCTGCAATTTTGCAAGAATTGCTCTTTTGTTGATTAAGTTAACAAAGAGTAATACTCCGTTTCATTGGACACCAACTTTTCAGCGTGCTTTTGTACGGTTGAAGGAGATCTTAACTACAATTCCTGTTCTCAAAATCCCAGATCTTGATAAACCCTTCGAAGTGTATTGTGATGCATCTAGCTATGCTATTGATGCCATATTGCAAGAAGATTGTGACAAAGCGGTTGGTGTTACACTAAGGTGACATGGTTGTCCCGTTGCGTTCTATTCCAAGAAATTGAATGAAACCCAACGAAGATGGCCAACACACAAGAAAGAGATGTTTGCTATAGTGTTAGCACTGGAACACTGGAGACACTACTTGGGTGGACACACCAAGGTTTATACAGATAATAACACACTAAGCTATTTTGCTACGCAGCCTAACCTTATGCTGAAGTAGGCTTATTGGCAAGAGAAGCTTGCTAAATATGATATTGAAATCATATATAAACCTAGTAAAGATAATATTGTTTCGAATGCATTGAGTCGTCAAGCTCAGTTTTGGGCAATATCGACAATCAATTCGGACTAGTTAGAGGACATTCAGGCTTCATATGGAAGTGATCCATTGGTGAAGGCAATATTATGCCATGCAGAGTTGTCGAAGCAGAACCCTAGTAATGAAGCAGTGAAAGTTGCTAGTCAAATCAATGTGAAGTTTTACTACTTAGTTTGGGATGGGCTTATATTCTATAAGCAAGAAAGATTGTGTCTTCCCTCTAAGGATCTGTAGTAGTTAATTCTGCATGAACATCATGATGTTCTAGTCAAGTATTGAAGTGAGTTGGTGATGTATCCTATAAGTTGGATCTTCCTAATAAGTTATCCCAAATATATGATGTGTTTCATATCAATTTACTAGCACCATATCATGCTGTTGTGGAATGCTTTACGGACATTCGTCCTCCACTAGTGATCATGGATGGTGAACCTGAGTATGAAGCTGAGTCTATCTTGGACTCTCAGTTTCGGAGACGGGCTCATGCGAAGGAATATATAGTTAAGTGGAAAGGTTACCCGACTTGTGAATCAACTTGGGAACCTTTTAGTAATCTTACCTATGCTTGTGAACTTGTCATGGACTATGAGAATAGTAATAAAGATTAGCTTTGTAAACCCTGTGATAAATCTTGCAATCAATAAAGTAATATATTTCTATAAATCAAAGTTTCATTTCTCTCGTTCATTAGAACTTGGGTCAGGTTTGGCAGGCTGACTTTGGCACTTTGGTGCATGGGTCTAATCCATAACCATGGGGATAGCTATTATAAACTGATCACAAGTCCCCACTTCTCTCTCAATGACTCATTTTTGAAAAGGGGCATGGCTGTGTAAACAACTTAATCTGCCAGTTTATAATAGTTATCTAAATCTTCCCGACGGAGTTGATTTCTTGCTCAAGGGAAGTTGGGCCTCTGGCCTTCTCCCTATGTCACTGCAGGCAAGGATGTATCATTCCTTTATAAGCCAAGTGGTATTTAGAGCAACAAGGGTGGCTAACTCCATTAGTCATTTCTTTATCGGTGATGTCTAAGTCTTAACATTTTTAGACGTAGAGGGGAGGTAGTTTCATAACTCATTTAAGTTGGTGTGTTTCCCACTGTAAGCAACCAAAGAGAATGAGACATGGTCAACAAGTCGTAGGATCAAAAGAGAGGCGTTTGATGTGGGTATTGAACTTCTTCTATGGGTGGTGGAGTTGTAAGGAACCAACTTGCCGAGGTGTCGTAGGCTAAAGGAACCCCGAAAGCATAACCAAAATGACAAAGAGTTTATCGGATGGGACCAAGTCGAAGATCGAGTCCAAGACCGACTCGGAGACCAAGTTCGAGATAGAGTCCGGAATCAAGTCTGAGGCCGACTCGGGGACTGAGTTCGAGACCGAGTTTGAGACCGAGTTCGAGACGGAGTCCGAGATCTGAAATCGGGTCCGAGACCGAGTCTGAGGTTGAGTCCAAGGTCGGGTCCGAGATCGGGTCCAAGATCGAGTCCGAGATTAAGTCCGAGACGGAATCCGAAGTCGGATCCGAAATCGGGTTCAAGATCGAGCCAGAGACTAAGTCCAAATACTAATACGGGTCAAGGGGTGAAAGCCCAAAGCGTGCGTCTCCCAAGGGGGGGGGGGGGCTGCAAGGGGTTCCAAAAGTATAGTAGGGATAGTGAGGTCCAGGAACCAGTCTTGAAGGAACTCTCCAGTGGGGCTTCCAAACCGACTTGAGGTTGAGACTGGGACCGAGGGGCATTGGGTGGGAGTGAGCATGGACTTGGCTGGTGCCGGAGGGGCCATCCAAGGAAGTGCTCAAGAGCAGCTCCCACTCCCGAAAGGGAAACTGATTGCGGTGCTCCCGGCTCACGTGGAGTGGTGCCCCACTTGAGTACCATGCGGCTCATTGGTCCTCGCCCTTCCTAGGGGCTTGGGCCTTCCTTCGGGATGGAAGTGGGGGGGTAGAGGTACCCATACTGGGCCACTAGGCCACGGTGTTTCGCCCCGGCGTCCCGAAGCAAGTGTTGCACTCAAGACTTGGATTTAGAGGGTCCCATGATCAAGTCTTGTGGTACCAAGGGATGTTAGGAACCTGGAAGCTTGGTGTGCTTGGCTGCTTATGCTTGCGGGGAGTGTAGCCGAACTTTAAGTTCAGTCTAACCCGGGGAGGGGGATTGGGAGTGATTTGGGAATCCGTGGATGGATGGCTAACACTCCGTTGCTCGTGCAGTGAGTAGCTGAAACCAAGTAGGAGCTGGTACCATAGGCGAGAACCTTGGCAAGGGAACTTAGCAAAAGCCAAGGTAGTGTTGGACAGATAGTCGAGGTAAGTTGGCAAATTGGAAAGGAAAAATTTGTGGCTTACACCCACATAGTGTGCTTTCTGTTAACTTTCGGAGTTTTTTCCTTAACAATTTGCTAAACTCAGGTATGTATCGATGAGGAGATCAATCTTCCCCAAAGGGAGGAGAGTGTCGCAAATATGACTTTGGGTATCGAAAAAATACTTGTCAACCAGTTCTTAGGGACACTTTTTCTTTACAGCCATAATGGCAGGAGGTTGATACTGTTGGTTTCCTTTGGTAGCCCCTCTTGTCCAAGTGTTAATTTACTAGGTTTAGCAACTATACTTAGCCAGATGAACATAAGGTAGGAACTCCTATATGTTTCTAGCTGAGCATTCTTGGCCTAGCTCTTAGTTCTTTTTTGCTCTGTCTTGCACTGGCTTGGCAAGAACCCTCGCGTATTGAGACTACTCCCTCAATATTGCTGGATGATAACTTACCATGTCTACCAAACATCTTCGCTATCATGCCCTTTGTGTTAGTCTCATTTTGATCCTAAATGCTATTTATGGAAAGTGTCTAGATTCACTCATTTGGCATATTTATGGAATATAAAGATTGGCCTAAACACAATGGTGTTCGTCCCGTGTCCAAATTTGCAATCTAGGGACATTCCATATTTAGTAAGTTTCAAGCTTGTCCCAGAAACTAACTCCTGATACTAAGGGAGGTTTGGGGTGAAAGCCCAAAGCATATTTTCCTCAAGGTCGGGGGAAGGGGGCTATAGGGGGTTCCAAATGTATAGTAGGGATAGTGGTTGGAATGCATGTTTAACCACCTAAGACATTAGTTTGGCTCCTGTTGAGCTGTGTCACTCTTTGTTCTGCGTCTGACTTGGGTCTAAGCCCAAGCTCCATGCTGCTTTAGTCGGTGGGGTACCCTCCTCCTTGCATTAGGACACCGGTATACCAAAATTGTGCCAAACACTATCTAACACCATTTTGCATGCAAGTGTTGGATACAGAGAGCTGGTGCTTTTGGGATTGTATTGGACCCTCATTTTGTAGCGCAACAGGCTTAGAGTTCAACTCCAAATTCAAGTGCACTACATTTATCCCTTTGTTAAAAAACTTGGTTATCAATCACTTTGAGCTTGTTCCTTAAACTCTTCTTTAAGAGTTCCTCTCCCACTCTTGATTTTCTGAGTTAGAGCTTTTAGTTTGAATATGTTACCCTTATTAGACTTTCACTTCAGCTACTGCTATATAACATGTGTAATACACTTAAGCACTTCTTTAAGAGTTTCACTCCCACTCTCAACTTTTTGAGTTAGACTTTTTAATTCATTTATTGGACTTTTGCCTAAGCGACTATTAAGTGTATTGTGGCTAGCACTTCGTCAAGATCTTTATAAGCTCATGAATTCAGACTTCCCAAGATGTCCCCAACCCAGTATTATTCAAACCCAAGGACGCTTAACCCCAAATATTTCAAAACCTTTAATTGATTGGAAAAAGGGGTGCACTCTTATTTATGGACCTTTTCTCTTTATATTTAAACCCCATGGATTTTTTCTTAAGTCATTATTTTTGGTTGCTTACAATCCACCCCGCTTCCTTGCAAATTCACACCCTCATGAATGGAAGCTGAAAACCATAGCTCTCCTGCGAACTTCGCTCTCTTGACACCCTACCCCTCGAGTTGAGCCCAACCGAGAGTAAACTAGACCTACCAGATATCAATCTTAACATATGGTGTGATTCATTTAGCCAACCAACAGAATTAAACCCAAGACCCCTCTAATACCAAATGTAAACTCCTAAATTTAGATTTCCCAAAAGATCATCCAACTCAGTATTATTCAAACCCAAAGATGGTTAACCCCAAATATCCCAAGACCATTAACCGATTGGAAAAGGAATCTTATGAGCCTTATGCATACACTAGCTACCCTTGACAATACTCTTTGACTGGCATAACACTATGAGATATCACTATAAGACACCAATTTGTAAATTTCAAAGTGGAGCTAAAGATGAACTACCCAACTTGATTCACTCCAATATATTTGTCTCTATATGAACTAAGAAACTCTAGAAGTAAACATCAATTTAAATAATTAATTTAGACAACCCCTAATAGAAACAATGCAATTATGGCATTATCACAATTATTAGCATGTCCAAATGAACATTTGAAGACATTTGAGAAAAGGCTCCAATGTATACAAGTGGTTACACTCAAACCATTATACCACTGCAATATTGTCTCTTGCAAACATGTAGAGAACTCGTATAGACACTAGGTATCATCCCAAGAATAATAGGTGGCAATCACTGTAAAATGATCAAACTAATAGTACACATCATCTCTAGGATTTCCACGAAAAAAAATTTACCAAGAGATCAATAGTAAGAGATGCAATAAGATCAGGAGGAGTTACACCATGTGCTATGAATGCCATTATCACTTGAATATGATTAATCAATTGTAATTGCATAACATCGAACAATTGCACTAATTGCCACTTTCGAGTCAAAGGAGGAGTATATTATTTTGTCATGAAAATGAACAAAAAGAAAATTGAAAAAGCAAAAACAAAAAAATAAAAAAGATCTAAACACCTCAACTAATATAAGTGAATGTAATATAGAATTGTGCATATTTGATTAGCCCAAAAACCTAGTTTATATGTAAAAGTAAATGGTCTAGATTGAAACTAATCTGATAGCTCTACTATGCTTATATTAGTATCGTAACGATACACCTATCTTATAATTTAATTTTAAGGAAATAACAAATATTTTAAGAAAATCTACTTAATCTCTATACTGGTTTATAAAGTAAATAAATGAATTGGTTTTAAAGTATTTCTTTCAATACTTGTGCACTATGTTGAGTGATATGATCTCCTATCATATAAGATTGGCAATTCTCTGATGTCCTGCTTGTACTGTAGGGTGCAGTGATGAACTTGAGAAAAAGAAAGAAAGGTAAGATTTTCTTTCATTTCATTCATTAGAACTCTTGATTCTCTTGTCTTTCAATAAAACTCTGCATAAAAAACTCTACTCTAAACTTTATATGAAAACAAACACATGAGTTACTAAATAAGTGGAACTTAAGGTCATGTCTTTATTATGTCTTTATGAACTTACAGCAATCATGATGGTGTAGAAGTTGGGCCTGGTTCTAATGGTGGTGATTCTGGTGGTGGTGCTGGTGGTGATGATAGAGGTGGTGATAGTGGTGGTGGTGTTGGTGAAAGTGAAGGTGCTGGTGTTGGTGAGGGTGGTGGTGTTCTTGGCGGTGGTGGAGGAGGTGTTCTTGGTGGTGGTGGCGGAGGTTTTCTTGGAGGTGGTGGTGGAGGTGTTCTTGGTGGTGGTGGTGGAGGTTTTCTTGGTGGTGGGGGAGGAGGAGTTCTTGGTGGTGGGGGTGGAGGTGTTCTTGGCAGTGGCGGTGGAGGTGTTCTTGGTGGTGGGGGAGGAGGTGTTCTAGGTGGTGGGGGAGGAGGAGTTCTTGGTGGTGGTGGTGGCGGTGTTCTTGGTGGTGGTGGTGGAGGAGTTCTAGGTGGTGGTGGAGGAGGTGTTTTTGGTGGTGGTGGTGGAGGTGTTCTAGGTGGTGGTGGTGGAGGTGTTGTTGTTGGTGGTGGGGGTGGTCTTCTAGGGGGTGGTGGTGGTGGTTTTCTAGGTGGTGGTGGAGGTGGAGAACTTGGTGGTGGTGGAGGTGAACAAGCATTTGGAGTAAAATAATAAGGTCCACAAGTGAACTTATTATTTCCATTATTGGTGCATGTGCTTAAGGATTGGCCACTTGATCCACCATTTATGTCTGTTAAGAAAGAACACCCCCGGGGTGCTCTACTTGGATCCACACTCACTCGACAACTCCCAATATCTGTTCCAGTCTTCACTAATTCAAAGATATCAAAGTATCCTCTACTATTTGTAAATGATGAATGACTGTCTCCTGGACAAACCAGGTTTACCTTGGCATCTGAAAGATTTAACAAGATTAGAAAAATACAAAAGATAGATAATTTTTCTTACTGAAGATGCCACTCTGAGAGAGTGAACCACAGTTAGTACAATAAACATAGCCATCCACTTTGATACTTGTAGTGGCAGCACAAAAATTCTCATTTTTCAGAATGATTGCAAGTAATAAAATTAAATAGAGAAATGTTTTGTTTTCCATACTTACATGGTAATATGAGGTAAAAGAGTGCCCTTTTATAATCTGCACTGCATTAAGTCAAACATCTAAGGTACAACTAATCAGTTGCTAGACTTTTTTCAAACCCAAATATTCTGATTTATGTGATCTCATGTTTTCTCCTTTTTCTATACTAATGATCTTAAACTTATAAATAATAATAACAATAATAATAATAATAATACTCAAGAATCTCAGTATTAGCATAACTAATGGATTAAACTTGTAGTTAACACCTAGATTAAGAAAGAATATTCTTAAAATTGAGTGCCTGACTAAGCTACATGGTGTCACACCATGCTTGGAGTTAGGAAAACACACCTTGTTCCTTAATACAGATCAGGCTTTACTGCATACAAGTTATCTAGATGCCCATCCTTATGCCGCATGGGCATCTGGAGAGATGGTACATGTGTTAACATCAAGCATCCCACCTAGATCTCTATGACGTTACTCTTTGGTGTTGGACCCCAATTTTCCGAAGGTAAAAGTCTTTTGTGCAATCTATGTGTCAGCTGTAAATCTCTTTTTAACCTTTAACCTTTATACTTTTGAATTATGGTCCAAAAGAATATTCTTAAAACATAATTTTCAAGGTCATCAGGGTCAAAGGAAATAATATATTAAAGAAGATCACTCACCTTGGTGCAACAAGGCTGCCAAGCAATGGTTTCTTCATCTTCCATCACCCACACTTTCTTGCAATGCTTAAGAAAGTAGGTGCTTGTAGCAGCCAGATCACTATTGTGTCCTTGGATGTTTTTTGTGGAAATAGTGTGGATTTCCACACCAAAAATGTTGCAATTGTTTAAGTTTGGTCAACACCTCTTAGTCTAGTTATTTTCAACAGCTAGATCATATTCTTTTTAGAAGTCCATAAAAGTTTAATGCCACTGACATGGTTGTGGAGAACTTCCAGGAAGAAAAGAATTTCTATCTTTGTCACTTTTGAAGGGCTTAATACCTTCAATATAGAATTAAGCCCAGCAATAGCAAGCTGGCTACACGGGTTAAGCTTGGGTTTGGCTTAAGATCATATATCCTTAACCAAAACTAAGATAACGAAAAAATGATAGCCAAAACATAAAGATCACAAACACCTATATTTTATGTTATTCCATTTACTTTGTTCTATTTGAGATGTGAATGAAATACCACCAAAATAAATGCTCACTTCTCACTATAGTCCCTTTATAAATTGCAATGGTGAATTAAAATGATTTCACTTGGTATAAATTATACCATCATAATCTACTTATTATTTTTATCTAATTATTTTATTCAAAAAATTAATATTAAATAAGCGAACTAAAGCGATCATTCTCGCCAGATCATTCTCTCCAGCTTCTGGAAATGGCGGCGCCGGCGCCTCCGCTTTGCCCTCCAGGATCTGCACCACGCGGCTCATCGCTGGCCTGGATCCTGGATCCTCGGCCTTGGGGGTGATGGATTGGCTCTCGAGCCACTCTGGAGCGAGGTATCCCCTGGTTCCTTGCACGGTGTTGATGCTCATCGATTCTTTTCTCATCATCCTCGCCAGCCCAAAGTTGGACACCTTTGGCCAGAGCTCTCGTCCAGCATCACGTTTTGTGGCTTGATATCGCAGTGGACGAGGAGGTATGTCAATCCTTTGGCAATCTCCAGCGCGATTGAGTGTCGTGTCTCCCAGGTTGAGAAAATCTCTTGCGAGGCGGCGAATGAGGACGAGGCCGAGAGGTGGTGATCGAGAGAACCGTTTGGCATGAACTCGTAGACGAGGAGGTGGTGGTCTCCCTCGGCGCAGTAGCCGAGGAGGCGGAGCCAAGTTGACGTGGTGTACTCTTCCAATCGTGCTCACCTCGGCCTTGAATTGCTTCTCAGCCTGGTTCACGGTGGTGATGTTCTTCATGGCCATGTTTCCTCTATACACGCTCCCGAATCCTCCCGAGCCTAACTCTTCGAGCGACTTGATGGTCGAGTCGAAGTTGTAATCGTTGAAGTAGTAGTCTGCTCGATTCACCTGGACGAGCTTCACCGAGATTGGGGAGTTTTGACAAGCTCCCAGAGGTATGTCGTAGTCACATCCCTTTGATTCGTCGTTTGGACAGGAGCACAGTTGCAAGTTTTTGTGGGCCTGTAGGTGCAGAGAGCGAAAGGTCCACATGTTCCAAAGATGTCGCACTCGAGCATGACGGCTTGCCAGACGACGCTCCAGGAGCCACTCTTGTTCTTCGGGCCGAAGCTGTAGATCCCGAGATTGCCATCGTCGTCCAGCGTAAGTCTCCCCAACACATTCGCATCGTCGTAGTCAAGCGCGTAGTCTTGTGAACTCATTGATCCTGATGCCCAGCTCTTTCCAGTTGCGTCGTAAAAGGAAAGGACGCTCAAGTTCAAGACGGCCGGGAACTTGAGAGAACGATCAGGCTGGCAAGCGTTGTTGTTCAAGACGTGCTCTCCGGTTTCGTCATCCAGGCAAGTCATGGTGGAGTTCAGTGTCGGATTTGCAATAGACCAGTATTTTTGCGGGATCTCCAGCTTTAAGTTCTTGAGCAGCACCTGACCACTGTTGAGAACAAGCTGGTATGCTCCAGACTGGGAAATCAACCTCGTGTATCCCAAGGACGGATTTCCTTGTGTGCGGAGCTGCTGCTCGGGCAAAAGGTTGTTCGTTGGAGAGTCGAAGCTCTGCTATGCAACTTTCTTGTCTTTTCCAAGGACAACTAAGTTCCCGTTCTCGAGCAGCGAAGCACTTTCAGCACAACACTGTCCGGGATTGGTTTGCCACAAGGAGGACGGAGCTGCTCCCATCAGTGACGGAAAGTCCTCCCTCGGCTTTCAAGGCATTTTCACTCACCTGGACAAGCTGCCCGTTTGCCATTGCCATCCAGACGACAGTCTTCTTCGGATCTATATCATACAAGATCGCGAGATTGAAGTTCCGGGTGCTTGAAGACTCAGGCATCACGAATCCAAATCCAAAGGTTCCTTCAGGTGATCTCCAAGGGCTTCCTGTTGTGACAGTGCTTCCGCGTAAGAAGTCGGCCAGGACTCTGCTGTAGTAAGTCGAAGAGAGCAGCAGCATGAGAGTAAGTAGCTTCATGAATGTTGTTTCTGACATGGTTTCTCCAAAGCTTGCTCTCACTAAGTTTTTCTTCTTTTTTGCAGTTCTGTCGTTTTAAGCTATGTGATTATTTCGTTGGAGTTAAGTTCCTGGATTGAATTGATCAAAGCCCAAGTCAATCGCTGTGAAATTCAGGTTAACTTTGCTAAGGATACTCTTTCTAAGGATACTACTATTATGTTAGAACCACAACAAGTTGTTGTGAGGTATGATCACTTTTTTTCAATTGTTTTTAATGCCATGAATTCGTAGCAAAAATCAGAAGGATATGAGAAATCATGGAGGATATCTTGTAGTTGACATCGACCAAGTCAAAATCAAATAGCTTTCAGAGTTCACTTTCTTCTAACTTGTGAGTTTCATTTGCAGGAGAAAGAACAAGAAGTTTTTCTCCTGATGGTGGCAAAACTAATGACGCTAGTTCTACTGATGCTCCTGGCCCTTGCAAGGGGATTGGACTGGGAGACAAGCTTTAACAACACTTTTGCATTTGGATTCCACACAAGCGATGGGATTGGTGAGCTCTTTACTCTCGCAATCTGGCTTCAAGCACAGGAACAGTAGTATGGGAGGCCACTGAAGCGCTCATCAAGAACGGTAGCATGACTGAGAAACCAAAGATCAAAGTAGGCAAACCTGGAGAGCTCGAGCTTAAAGGAACCGGACTCATGACAATATGACCTGTCCACTGTGAGAATTGTTCTATCACCACCGCGTCCTTGGAAGAAATTTGCAACATTGTCCTGCTTGACCGTAGCTCGGACAGGATTTGGCAAAGTTTTGACTTCCCAACAGATACTCTCCTTCCTGGACAAGAATGTGGAAATACGAGTTTGGTCGCTGGAAAATACTGGCTTAGCATGAACAGGCAGGGTATTGAACTCTAACTCAAAAGCATAAAAATCAGATTAAAATTAATATTTATCTTTTAAAGTTATAGGTAATTTTAGTATAAGAAATAAGAAATAAGATTGTAACATAAGAAAATAAAGAAGATGAATATCTAAAAATTTAATATCTTGAGAGTAGGTATAATAGATCAAAATTTTATTGTAAACTCTTCAAACTAAATAGATTAGAAAATGGTAAAGTAGTTAGTATGAATTTATCAAAAACACTTCAGAATATCTCATTAATAAGATAATTTAATTTTTTAAAAAAATTAAGTTTAAATAGGAAAAAAAATTATATTCAATTTATTATAAGAGCTCTAATTTTCATGTTTATTTCTTTTTACTTGATTATTTAAGATAGCTAATTATTAATATAAAACTTAGATAAACTATTTCAATATAATGAATAAATAAAATTGCTGTGTGTTGTGTTGCAACAATGCTTAGTTAGCTTTTGTTTTTAAATATTTTTTATTACGATATATAATTTGTTATGATCTGTCCAATATGCAGGTGCTATTCCTGCTTTTGTATATATTATATCTTTTATCCATATATGATCTTTTAATTTATTATTACGTGTATTGTGTTTTATTATTTGTATGTATCCTTCTTTCTCCATTATTGTTTGAAGTGGTTTTGCTTCTTCTTTTTGGTAGTCAATATCAAAATCTCCTCTAATTATTACTGGTTTTTTATTATCTATTTTCTGTATATATATCTGTTGTTGTTTTATGAATATTTGTATATTTGTTCCAGGTTTTCTATGTAAATTTATTATCTGTAATTGTTTTTTATTTTTTCTAATGATACATATGACATTGCCATTGTCTCTGTTTTTAAATGTTCTACTATTTCTGATTTATAGTCATTTGTATGCAATATTGCTATATGTGGGGGTTGTTCATGTATATATGATTTATATTTATTAAAATATAAATCCTCATGTTTTTGTGTTCTTACTTCTTGAATACATATTATATCTGATG